GACTGGTACATTTTGCCACATATAATGCAAGAATTGCTCTATCTCGGTAAAGGAGAGAGGTACGCATATGCTTTTAGGGCATGATAAACTGCCGTAGGAACGAGCATTGGGTCCGAAGGCCAAGGAAGCGAAGAAGCAAATCGGGAAGAGTGGCCGCAATGGGACGCGCTTGCTCTTGCTCTTGCTCTCTGGAAAAATATGTGATTAGACCAGAGATCCTAGTCCCAGCTTTGGATGTCTTCTAGGGCTTGGCATTTGCAGCAGAGCGAGGCTAGAGCCACTAAAGACACGAGTTCATGCACGGGAAGCTACTACATGCGGGTTTCATGTGCAAAAGAACAGCTCTCAATAAAACTCCCCAAAGAAGCACTTTATGTTCACTGAAACGTAGTTATGTAAGAAAACGGACAAAAACGGCCTCTTAGTTAGCTTAACCTGGAGAAATTCCAGGTGAGAGACGCATAGATATAAAGGAAGAATGCCTCTCCTCCATCCGACTCGCGAGCCAAGGATCAAGGATGCGACTCGCTCGGAACTGGGCAATTGAGAGTTTGGGAAGGATTGTGTCGTCTGCTCCTAAAACCTGGGAAGCCAAGGCACCTTTGATCGTCGTTGTGCGCTGAATCTCCCCCACGACTATCTTCCTGCTGCGCCATGGCTGCGTCGAGTGGCCTATCATCGCTCTCATCCCAACTCAAAAGCTAAAGAAAAACATAGCCAAGGTGGTCAAAAGTCCATTCACTACATAATTTTTCCCTTTCCTTTCTCAGAGACACCTCTTCATCTCTGCTTGCCCTATTCGCAGGATCTAAGCATAAAAAGAAAAATAAATTCATGATGAGTTTGTGGAACTCACGCTCCGTAAGGAGTTGGAAACCTTTGAGACAGGCGTGCTGTAAACGCTGTGATTACGGAGTTGGAACTGATCCTCTTCATCCGAGCTGCAGCATCGAAATCGCTGCGCGATCCAGTTTTTAGTTAAACTTAACATGGGAATCTTTTCAACTTGCCAAGGATATCCGTCTTTCGTACGCCTCCGTACTCTACTTGGTGTGCCACGCGGACTTGCCCTTTTCTACTTCGGTGTTTGCCCGAGGAGCGAGCGATGGCGCCGCGGCTGGCGATGTTAGGGTTGGCGGCAGCGGTGGAGCTGCTGCTGCTGCTTCACCTCCAATTCGCCACCGCCTTCTACCTCCCAGGCGTGGCGCCACAAGATTTCGCCCAGGTAAGTGGATGCTTTCTTGTGGCCCAGATCTGGGATCTCTGGCATTCTCTGGCCTAGATCCATGCTTGCATAGGGTGTGATTTGGTAAAGCTTGCCTCATGTATGCTACACAGGGTGCGGAGCTCCAAGTCAAGGTGAACAAGCTCACATCTATCAAAACTCTCCTTCCGTATGAGTACTATTCACTGGGCTACTGTCGGCCCGAGAAAATTCTCAACAGTGCCGAGAACTTGGGGGAAGTTCTTCGTGGGGATCGGATCGAGAACTCTGTTTATTCTGTAAGCATGTTTCCGCTGATAATATTTGTTTCTAAAAGTTTTTGCTTCGCAGTTTTCCATGAAGGAAGACAAGTCGTGCATTGTTGCTTGCAAAGGCGAAAAGCTGTCCGAAAAGAGTGCCAAGAATTTCAAAGAGAAGATTGACGAGGATTACCATGTTAACATGTAAGTCTGGTGGTAATAATGCTTTGAAGCTTTTAACATGTCATCGCCACAGGATTTTGGACAACCTTCCTGTAGCTATCGCTGCACCTGGTAACATGGACGGCAGTCATCTCAAACTTTACGAGCGAGGTTTTCCTGTAGGATTCAAGGTTAGTACCAGATTTCGTTTTTTTCTTTTTTTCCCTTCTTTCTTTCTAAACTCTAGTGACCTTAAAAAATTCGCAGAGTGATGATGGGAAGTATAACCTTTACAACCACCTCAAGTTTACGGTTTATTTTCACAAGGATCAGGATCCGGATGTCTCTCGCATCGTGGGCTTTGAGGTGTTCCCCTTGAGGTTTGTGGCTCATTTTTTATTTTGATTTGACTCGGAACTCGGAACCTGATACTGGTTTTTGTGGTTAGTGTGAAGCACACCTACGAATCATGGAACAAAAATAATCCGAAACTACAGACTTGTAACCCCGAAGGCAAACAGTTCGTTGAATCTTCAAAGACACCACAAGAAGTTGAAGTCGGGGAAGAGATCGTTTTCACTTACGACGTCAAATTCGAGGTAACTGTTACCTGCCTGTCTTTTATCCTTCTGTTCTCAACGTGCCTGTTTGTTTGCAGGAGAGCGCCACGAGATGGGCTTCCCGATGGGATATGTACCTTATGATGTCAGACGACCAAATCCACTGGTTTTCTATCATCAACTCCCTCATGATCGTTCTCTTCCTCACGGGAATGGTGGCCATGATCATGATGCGTACACTGCATCGCGATATATCCAAGTACAATCAACTGGAGACTCAGGAAGAAGCACAGGAAGAAACTGGGTGGAAGCTGGTGCACGGTGACGTTTTCAGAGCTCCGGAACACGCTGGAACGCTGTGTGTGTTCGTGGGAACAGGGGTGCAGTGCCTGGGCATGACAGTCGTCACCATGATCTTCGCACTGCTGGGATTCCTATCGCCCTCGAACCGTGGCGGGCTTATGACTGCTATGGTGCTGCTGTGGGTGTTCATGGGGCTGGTGGCCGGGTATGCCTCAGCGCGCCTCTACAAGTCTTTCAAAGGCAGTGACTGGAAGAAGATAACCATGAAGACGGCACTCATCTTCCCGGCCGTCGTCTTCTCCATTTTCTTCGTGCTCAATGCCATCATCTGGGGGGAGAAGTCGTCGGGGGCTGTGCCTTTCGGGACGATGTTCGCGCTGGTTTGCCTCTGGTTTGGCATCTCGGTGCCGCTGGTGTTCGTCGGCAGCTACTTGGGATACAAGAAACCAGCCATCGAGCCCCCGGTCCGGACCAACAAGATCCCGCGACAGGTCCCAGAGCAGGCGTGGTACATGCAGCCCATCTTCTCGGTGCTCATCGGCGGCATCCTTCCATTCGGCGCCGTTTTCATCGAGCTCTTCTTCATCCTCACCTCCATCTGGCTGCACCAGTTCTACTACATCTTCGGCTTCCTCTTCATCGTCTTCCTCATCCTCGTCGTCACCTGTGCCGAGATCACCATCGTCCTCTGCTACTTCCAGCTCTGCAGCGAGGACTACTACTGGTGGTGGAGAGCGTACCTCACGTCGGGCTCCTCGGCCATCTACTTGTTCCTCTACGCAACCTTCTACTTCTTCACCAAGCTGGAGATCACCAAGCTGGTGTCGGGGCTGCTCTACTTTGGCTACATGACCATCATCTCGATTGGCTTCTTCGTCCTCACTGGCACCATCGGGTTCTACGCATGCTTATGGTTTGTTCGCACCATTTACGCCTCGGTCAAGATCGATTGAGACGAAAAGAAGGAAAATTATCGTCGCCATCATCGGTTGCTGCTGCTGGTGCTGCTACTGTGAAAAGTTTTGATTGTTTTCTTAATGGCCGCATAGCAATAGCATAGCTAACTTAAAAATCTCTGGTGGGATTCCTGGCTCCACTTGAAACAAGGAAAGGCAAGGAAACGTAGCTGCTAGCTAGTAGATATTCACCGGTTGACTCGATCAGATCGATCTCCTCTGACGTAGAAAATCTCTTTTGCTTGAATGGCTGATTGACCATTCGGTCAAAGTTTAGTCAAACTAAAGTCAACTCCAGAACTAAGCTCGGAATGAGATTCGAACCTATCCTTCGTTTCTAGGGTTCTGCGCTAACCCTCTCTGCCTTGGCGGTGAAGCAAGCGTGCCTGAGCGAGAACAACGCCAAAACCATGGCGACGAGTAAGTTTTGGTTCATCTCTAGCTGATCGATCGACTGGGGCCTTGTTCCAGGGGCGCAGTTTGAGAACAGCAGTGACATTGGCGTCTTCTCCAAGCTCACTAATGCCTACTGCCTGGTAGCGATTGGAGGATCAGAGAATTTCTACAGGTGAGAGTTTTCGATCCGTTACTTGGATTGATCTTTGTGAATTCTTTGTCGCAGCACCTTCGAGTCGGAGCTAGCCGACCACATTCCCGTAGTAAAGGTGTCCATCTCTGGGACAAGAGTGATTGGAAGGATGTGTGTCGGTAAGAATTATCGATAGAGATCTAGGACTGAAAATGTATGTCTCATTTTGCACAGGAAACAAAAACGGCTTGCTACTCCCAAACTCGACGACTGATCAAGGTAAGTCTCGAGTTAAATTTTTCTCTTTTCTTCGTTTTCTGCCATAGCCGGAGGTGATTGTGTGATTTTCCAGAGCTTCTTCACATTCGGAACTCTCTTCCCGACCGTGTTGTGGTTCAAAGGGTGGAGGAAAGGTTGTCTGCTTTGGGAAACTGCATTGCAACGAATGACTACGTTTCTCTCGTTCACACGGACTTGGACAAGGTAGACGTTTTCTCCATCCAGTCTTTGTTTCTTTGAAGCAATCAATGTGTCTGTTCCTCCAGGAAACCGAAGAGCTCGTGGCCGATGTGCTTGGAGTTGAAGTTTTCAGGCAGACCATCGCCGGGAACGTCTTGGTTGGAAGCTACGGCGTCTTCTCAAACAGAGGTGGACTGGTAAGAAGATCCTTGTCTGGTCTTTCTCGTGAACTTTTTTGAGGAACTTTTCTGTTGTCACAGGTGCATCCTCACACATCGATCGAAGATCTGGACGAGCTATCGTCGCTGTTGCAAGTCCCGCTGGTTGCAGGCACTGTCAACCGCGGGAGCGACGTGATCGGCGCTGGGCTGATCGTGAACGACTGGACAGCCTTTTGCGGCCTCGACACCACCACCACCGAGCTCTCGGTTGTGGAGAGCGTTTTCAAGCTCCGAGAGTCTCAACCCAGTGCCATTGTCAACGAGATGAGAGCTTCGCTCATCGATACGCTTGCCTGAGAACTTAAAAAAATAAAATAAACAAAGCTTTGGTTTTCATGGGTTTTTTGCGCTTTGTTTGATCTTTTAGGTACTTGGAAAGCTAGCTATGGGTACTCTGGGCTGGGACGGCGCTTGGTTTTACAAGCAAAGGTTGGGTTTTGATAGGAAAAGCAGCAAAAGACGAGCAGGGAAGAACAGCAGCGGCAGCACTAGTAGTTCTAGCGGAAGATTTCCATTCAAGCAAGCTATGGTGGCTGGATCTTTAGCTTTGACAGGCGATACCATTGCTCAGCTTCGTGGGCGATGGAACCAGCACAAGAACAGCGACGCTTGGGAGGTAGGCTAGCAGTGTTGGCGTGGCTGTGATCTTCCTGTTCTTCCAGAGGGAGCTATGGAATCACGATTGGGTGAGGGCGTTGAGGATGGCCAGCTATGGGTTCTTGCTCTACGGGCCAGGATCGCAGGCTTGGTACGAGCTCCTCGATTGGTACTTCCCTGCCAAGACGATGAGAAATCTATCCATCAAGGTGAGATTCTTACGCCAAGTTTGTGTTGTTTGCTCACGAATCTCGCTGCGACGCGATAGATTGTTTTGAATCAGCTGGTGCTCGGCCCATGCGTGATTCTCGTAATCTTCGCGTGGAATAGCATCTGGCAAGGCCAAGCTCGCGAGCTCCCATCAATGTACAGGAACAAGGCATTGCCTACGCTCGTCGATGGTAGAATAGAAGAATCAAAATCTCTTCTTTTTCACCGATTTCTCGATTCTTTGGCAGGATGGAAGTTTTGGATTCCTGCCAGCGCGCTCAATTTCAGTGTCGTGCCTCTGGATGCTCGAGTTGGATTCATGTCGTGCTGCTCGATTTTTTGGAACTTCTACCTCTCCAATGCCATGGGAAAACGCTGAAGATCTTCCCTTGGCTCGTCAATAAACTTCTCTTTCACCGGCACGTGGCAGTGGGATACCGGCTCTGCCAGTAAAAGCCCGGGAAACTTAGGGCAGCGCCCTAGCTGGAAGAAGAGCAGTCATGGCGGCTACGGCTAGGGTTTGTGAGCGCCAGGATCAGCTCCCTTTTCTGGAGCGCCGGATCTTGTTCCATCCCGCCAAAGACACTGCATTGCTCGCGGCATTGCCTCCAGGTATCGAGCCGCTCAATCACGGATTCAATGCGGCGACTCCTCCTCCTCCTCCGAGCCTTTCCAAGTCGCCCGATGGCAAAGGGATCAAGCGATCGTGGGAGGAAGCGAATGGCGAGCCGCAGAAGGATTTTGGCGAGAATGTGCTACCCGAGCTGGGAGCTCCCCTCCGGATTGTGAGTTTTTGTAGGGGTTTTGGGAGGTTTACTCTAACTTTGTGCTTGATAGGGAGCCGGGCTTACAAATCTCGGTAACACTTGCTTCCTCAACTCTGTCTTGCAATGCCTTACGTACACGCAGCCCTTGGCGGAGTTTCTCAAAAGCGGCCAACACAAGCTCTTGTGTAAGTCTGTCTAGTAGTGTTTTCTCTTTACTGCAGTTTATCGCTTCTATTTGTCGCAGGTCGAAAGTCTGGATTTTGTGCAATGTGCGCTCTGGAAGGGCACGTCAAGAATGCGTTGCAGTCATGGGGAAAGGTGATAGCTCCCAATCATATGGTGAAAAACTTGCGCAGTAAGTCCTTATAGATTACCTATAGATTTCTCGCGTAAACTATTCGAATGCAGGCATATCACGTGCGTTTCAACCTTGGAGACAGGAAGATGCGCATGAGTTTTTAAGATATCTCATGGAGGCTTTGCAGAAAGACTGTCTTCCTAGCAAAACGCCGATGAACTCTCCGGAACAAGAAAAAACTCTTCTGTACAAAATCTTCGGTGGTCGTCTTCGAAGTCAGGTATTTGCCTAGTTACACTGTGTAGGAGCTGAATTACGAGCATTTTTTTGCAGGTGAAATGCAGTAATTGTCTGGAACGTTCAGAAACTGTTGATCCTTTTCTAGACCTGAGCTTGGACATCACACGGGCAGACTCGCTGGGCAAGGCCCTCGCATGGTTTACAGCCAATGAGATACTCGATGGTGATAACAAGTATCACTGCGAGAAATGCAAGAAGAAAGTGCGTGCCATAAAGCGGTTTACGATCGAAACCGCGCCAAACGTCCTAACAGTTCAGTTCAAGCGTTTCAGCAGCACTGGCTTACATGGGCAAAAGATAGACAAGAAGGTTCACTTTGGAAGAAAGCTAGACATCACTCCTTTTATGAGTAACGCCAGGGTAAGCCAGGGTAGCTGCTTCACATTTTATAGCTAACGCTGCCCAGCAGGATGGTGCGGTTTATGACTTGTATGGTGTGCTGGTGCACGCGGGGTGGTCAACCCGTTCTGGACACTACTATTGTTTTGTACGCACTTCCTCCGATATGTGGCACGTCTTAGATGACTCTCGGGTATGAGCGTCTTTACCTTGTGTGCTTATTAAAGCTATTTTACATGCAGGTTCAACAGCTGAGCGAACAAACTGTTCTGAACCAAAAGGCTTACATACTCTTCTATATTCGTAAGACGCCAACACAGAGACTCCCCTCGGCGCCTGCTACAGAGATTTCAGGAAAGAAGATTGCTACCACAAAGACTCTTCATATGCCGGATGCTGTGCCAGCTGCTAAAATCGAGGAAAGGGAAACAAGTTTACGAGAGCAGGAAGTCCCCGCTGCTGGTATAACCAAGGAAAGAGAAGAAAATTCGCCAGATAAAGTTGTTACAGCCAAAGCAAAGGAAACTGTGCCAGCTGCTACGGATGAGGAGGGAAAAGCAATTTCGGAAGAGGACATCTGTTCTCCTCTCTCCCCTGTAGCTCCTTCCGCGGAAAAGCGTGCTAGTCCTGAGCCAGAATTGAAAAAGGAGGTAACATTTTGAGTCATTGTTTCTGTTTATGTTGCTTACTGTGTTGTCTACAGGGAACTGTCCCGGCAAGCAGAATCGAGCCCGAAAATCAAGCGCCTTCGATGGTGGACAAGGGGTCAACTAAAAAGCTGGACAAACGTGATCCGGAAAAACCTGAGAGAGAATTACCGAAAGGCCAAATCTCCCTCAGGAAGTTCGACACGGATCCGCCAAGAAGACCTGAGAAGGGCTACCTGAAGTTACTTAAAGCTATGCCCAAGAACAGGCGCTTGTTGATGGAAAAGGCTCTTGAAGGTGGAATTGCTGAAGGGACGGCTGCCTCCAAAAGCAAAAAGCTCGTGGAGAACGACGATCCCAAGAAGAAAAAGAAGTGCAGTCCGAATGAGCTGTTTGGAACTGGAGGTAAGTACTTTTCTCCAATTTCTGTACAAACAGCGAGTGACTCTGTCCTGCAGTTGCACGATGGGAGGGCGTCGACGGGAAAGAAGTCGATGGCTTTCTCAGCCAAGAACACAAGGTCTCAACAAAGAGACCCGATGAGTGGTATGAGAATTTAGTTCTCTATCTGTCTTACATCTCTTTTGTTTTCCAGGGATGAAGAGTATGACCGTGGTAGACTTAAAAAGCTCCGACGAAGTGCCGGAGGTGGAAGGCTCACTCCTCTGAAAAGCTGCGAGAACGCGAATCCATTCCAAGTTCTTACTTCCAAAAAGAAGAGCTGAAGTTTCTTCATAACCGCGAGTGTAAACTAAAGAGGTATGGAAGTGTCACAGCACAAATAAGTGGTGAAACTCCGACACGTTTTTCAGGGAAGAATCTAAAATTTTTTAAAATCTACTGCGCGCGAGAAAGATATGCCACCGCAGGACGGAATATACGACCACAGTGGAGCCATCTCGTACAGTCGTGGTGGCGGCTTCCGCGAGAGAGGAATAAAATTACAATGGCGACGATGGAAAGTTCTATCCCAGGGCTTGGAGGCTGGAGTGGCCAGCAAGTTTAAGAACCAGATGGTCCAATCTCCTCTGGCAAACGCGAGTTCTTGGCGATGGCGGCGGCGCGGCTCAAATGCGTGACCCTGGATGTCACTGGCACGCTCATGGCGTACAAGGGCGAGCTCGGCGACTACTATTGCATGTCCGCCAAGGCGCTGGGGCTGCCGTGCCCGGATTACAAGCGCGTCCACGAGGGATTCAAGGCTGCCTACGCGGAGATGAGCAAGAAATTCCCATGCTTCGGCTATGGCCATCTCTCGGATGTGGAGTGGTGGAGGCGGTGCGTGCGCGATTCTTTCATCAGGGTACGTGCTATAGCTCCTCTCTCGATGCATTGGTCTCATGTTTAATCGGCCAGGCGGGCTATTCCTTCGATCCGGACACCGGGGAGCAGATTTTCAATCGAATCCATGCGATGTTTGGATCCACGGCGCCATACACGATCTTCCCGGACGCGCAGCCATTCCTCCGCTGGGCTCGCGCGAGTGGATTGAGCGTTGGGATCGTGAGCAATGCAGAGTCGCGCTACCGGGATGTGATTCTCCCGGCCCTGGGTCTCAATCAGGTATCAAAAGTATCGATCTTTCGATTTTCCTGCCAATGGGGCTCACGATCGATCATGGTGTCGCCAGGGATCGGAGTGGGACTTTGGTGTCTTCTCGGGCCTCGAGGGCGTGGAGAAGCCCGACCCAGGAATCTACAAGCTCGCATTGGAGAAGGCGGGCAATGTTCCTCCCAGCATGGCGCTCCACATCGGGGATAGCTTGAGGAAGGACTATCTCCCGGCGCAGAGCCTCGGGATCCATGCGATACTCCTCGATCGATTCAAGACGGCCGAGGCCGCGCGATTGAAAGAGAGTGGAGTGATCGTTCTGCCCGATCTCTCCGCCGCGCAGCAATGGATTCTCCACAACTGTAGCGTCCAGCAAATAACGAAAGGGCTTGATTAACCTAGCGTACGAAAGTGTGTTGCCGTACATTTCCGCGTTAGGTGTCCGTGACCGTACATTGTCAAATTTAGGGTTCTAGAGCAAAATAGTTTTTGGCCGGCGGCGGCAATCTCTCCGTTCTCGTGCACGCTGGAGGTGCGGCGTTGTAGCCGGCTCCTGTCCATGGCGCGGCGATGCTAGATTGCTGCTAGGATTCTCTGCTGATCAATCCGAGGCGGAGAAGGAGAAGAACAAGAAGCACGGGGATCACTCTGCTAAAGACTAAGTCAAGAACAAGGAGCAGTGCTCAAATAACCAGTCGGCGCGGCTTGTGATGGCGGTGCTGGTGAAGCGAGCAATCTCGGCCAAAGGTGAGCGTCTAGTGCTTTCAATTCGCACCCTGGCGACCAGAACCATAGAAGAATTTGGCGCAGTGGCTTGTCTTTAGTGCTGGAACTCCTCCTTCCTGTGCTGCGTGTGTGTGTGGAGACGTTAGCAAACTTATTTATATCTCGAGCGCGAGTGTTTTTTCATTTCCGTCCTGCCAGCTATGGCAGGAGGTAGCGATTCAAGATCTCTAGAGTTAACTCCTACATGATCGTGTGTACGTTGTTCGTTGTTGTTTCACTGATAGGAGAGAGACCATCTCGGACAAGTAATTCTTTCCGGTTATCTTTCATTCTCTAATAACCTTATCGGACTTGGCTTGGCAGTGGCTATCCAGAACAAAGAGGAAACCACTCTATGGTTTGTTTGTTCAAGCTGATGCAATGGCAAATGCTTGTTTCAGAGTTGATGTCCATCTCTCTCCCCATCACCATAACTACGTCTTACGTCAAATCGTCCTTTTTTAGATAAGCAACGCATGCCTTTGTCACCTCCCATCCTCCGGGAAAGGGCCTGTAAGTCAGTTGCCAAATTCGTCAAGGTGTTCTTTTATTTGACAAGTGTACTTTGGCAGCATGCCAGTTCTCATTCTCTCAACCTCGAAAATGTTGCATATCTCGAAACTGGAGTTCAATGGCGCATATCGAGCAGCCAAATGGTAGGATTCTTAACGATCATCCGCGCTATTGCAAAGTAAGGAGAACTCAGTCAGCTCTCACCTAGCCACGTGACCCATCCAGAATTGAGCGCCACGATAAACATCGCGATCGCGAACTGCCAGGTAATTAAGCATTGCTTCTCAAAGTTCCCCGGAAGAACACTGAGCTTTGTTTTTCGTGCTTACTTTCCCTGTCACTCTGATTTGTGGCGAGAGCATTGACGATCCGGCCAAAGTAGTACATGTTGATCGGAAGGACGAGGCTGTGCACGATGGCTGCCAAGCTTCCGGTTGCCATGAGCAAGCAATCGAGGCACCTGCATTTCTTTTGGATGGAATGGGTGGGAGCTTTAAAGTGACACACTAATAAGAATTTAAAAGAGCATCATTGGGACATTAAAACACAAGCTCTGCGTTACAGGTTTGTGCTAGGCTGATTTTGTCACAGTTAGACAAATGGTGGGACGAAAGAAGATGGTGGATATCATCCAAGAATGTCCATTCCGACAACAGTGAACTATCTCGAAAATCCGCCGCTGAACTTTAACAATAAGGTTTGTTTGCACGTAAACTATTTTATTCGTTATTAAAGTTCTTCCAGATATAATTATAGCTTATGGTTTTTACTTTTTTATATTACGCATTGTGTGGCCATTTTACAAGTCAATTGCTGGTATGGATCTCCACACATTTGGCGAGTCCCATCCTCAAAGAAACTGGAAGAAAGAGCTCTCTCGGCACTCCATCTCTCCTCCGGCTCCCAAACCAGCATGTTGTCCAGGAGCTCAAGAATATCTTCGTCGCCAATCTCCCTGTGGAGCCTCTCCTTGATCTCCTCCACCACCCTGTAAAGCTCTCTGGCGGCGTGGCTCTCGCGTACAACGCTGAAAGGGTTGTACCCTAGAACCAGCTCCGCGAGGATCACTCCAGCGCCCCACACGTCCACGCCACTTCCCAGCTCTTGGGTGTCGCCCAGGATGATCTCCGGCGCGTTGTAGGCCAGCGTTCCAATCGTTTCTGGGTCTCTTGGGGGCGTCGTCACCCTTCTCGCGTGATCAAAGTCGCACAGCTTCACCTTGGTGCCCTCCTTGTTGATCAGGACGTTGGCGGTCTTGATGTCCTGATGAACGATGCCATGCTCGTGCATGTAGGCTAGGGCTTGAAGGATCTGCTCGATGATCGTCTTGATCTCCTCCCTGTTGAGGGTTCTCTTCATAAGCATGCCCAATCTCTTCTTGAACTTGTAGAGATCCCCAAACATGTGCTCGAACACCATGTACGTTTTACCTCCAATCGAGCCCACGTCCAGAAGCTTGACGATGTTTTCATGTTGACATTCTTGCAGAAGACCATAGACCAGCTTCGTTTCCTCGTGTAGATTTAGATGCTCTACCATCTCTTTGATGGCGACCTTCTCCATAGTGTCGAGATTTATCCCCTCTCTCACCGTTCCACCGGTACCACGCCCCAGCCTTGTCGAGTAATCGATTGAGTATCGCGTCATCTCTCTTACTTCGTTGTGACGATAAAAATTAAGGGTGAGCTCATTAGCACGACGCTTTAGTACAAAGTTTTCCCTTTTTGACTAACTAAATGAAGCCCTCCTTTTTTTGTTAAAGAATATATTTAAATTACTTATTAAAAGTTAACAGATATCTTGAATATCTCCACCTTGTCAGGCCTTTGTGTTACTTGTAACTCGCTCTCTACTCTGGCACTGCTCGTAGCTCCTGTCCAAAAGAAGCAATCGTGCTGCGGTCTATGGTGCTCATGTCCATCACGCTGCTGTGATCTTTGTTTCTCTTCTTTGCTGCCTTCTTCCAGTTGTGAATCGAGTCCACTATGTGTTCTTGAAATATCGCTCTCTTGTAGTTGGACCCCATCTACGTACAAGCATTGTCGTCAGTATACATGCGCTGAGATTTAAAACTTTGCTTACCTGTGTCACAAGAGCATAGAGAGGTAACGCATAGTATTTGCACCAAGAACCTGATCACCAGACAATGTTACCGCTACCTGATTCACGCAAAACTTTCAAACTTACCCGGTGACAACTCGCAAATACGAGAAGATCCTATTTTGCATCAAGCAGGAGTCCCAACCGAATTGCTACTGAAAATGCATTCCAGGATTAATTAACGTCCTTACAACATTTCATTATAACTTACCCAACCCAAAGAAAAGTGGCCAATTCAAAAGCGTCCTGTAAAAACGCAAGAGATGTCACTGTGGTGCCAATTCAAGCCAAACCAAACCTGGAAGAGAATGAAATGGATCAGATGTAGCATCAATCGTGGTTTGTTGAACCAAAACAGTGTGTCTCGAGGTTTTAAACCTGCTATCCGTGGTCCAGACCCAGAATCTTCCAAAGCCAACTTGGCGATTCCATACTGGAGTTTCGCTCCGACCACTAATGGCAAAGTTTAGAAGAGATAAATTAAAACTAAAGAAAGAAAAGAAAAGAAAAACACCATACCACGATGGGAACAAGTGACATCCAGAAAAATAAGTTGACACCTGAAAAAGATTATGTTACAAACAAGAAGCGGAAAGAGAAAAACTGCTAACCATGAACATCGAAAAAGAAAAAACAAACAACAAACTTCCAGAAAATGATGTTGCAAGGAGCAAAAAAACAAAGAAGAACGTGGCATTAGCATTTTACCAACCACAACTAAATACCTTATTCCAACTATATCTTTGTACTCATCCTCCAACGATCAAATCATGTCTGAGGCGTGTCTCATGCTTCTGCAACAACTCAGCGTTATTTTTTGTGATCAACTTACCGTCACAAAGCCCATATGCAAGGCCAAATAGTCGGATTTGGTTACCGACTGGCCAAATTGAAGGAAGAATCAGAGGAGTTTATCAAGAACTGCTCGCTCCATGATCAGAGAATACTAACCACACCAAGCAAGAGGCTGTTCCTGCTCCACAAGGTCGATGCGCAAATGTTGGTTTTCAAAGTTTTAGTTAAAGAGGTTCAAACCGTAAGTAAAACTACGAGGTTCATTGACGATCCTTCAGAATAGCGAAGAGCATAGTCAGACACGAGTATAAAATGGAAACCATGGAAAGAACATATCAGTTCCAATCGAATCTTCTCAGTAAGAAGCAACTCCCCAACTTGTTTAGAGATAGTTTCGTCAGTAGCTTTACAAGGACAGATATCAGATTAGAGGACTTATACATTGAAATGCCTTGACAACGTGTGGAGACGCAGGGTCCGCCAGGCATGGTGCTTCCTGCATTGAAAAGTTTCTTCTGAAAGCTCTGGTATGCAGGTTTTGGATTTGCTGCTCTGCGATGCAGTGAGTGGTATTGAAACCTGTAACCTTGAAGACGTCGACGTTGGTTTTCCTAAGTAGAGCTGTTTCAAAAGCCTGGAACTGTGGTTATGTCCTGTTCCAAGGAAGTGGGAAGGTTTGAAGACGGAGCGAGTGATAGTAGCTGGATAAAGCTCGTCTGTATGATACGCTATTAGAAGCATGTCACTTATTATAAGTATTTAATAATTGATTCAATCCTAATATAGATCAAATCGAAACAAAACTAGGAAAGGCCATCAATTGATAATGTGGATAAAAAAAAACAACAGAGGAAACAATTAAACAAAAAAAAAACGAAACAAACAAACAAACAAGAAAAAGCATGAAACAATTGTTAAGCTTATGATCATACTTACTGGCAAACACCCGAACGAAACGAACTAAACTGATGCGAACCTGTTCAAACGTGGTACTTTTGATTGCAAAGAAACCCTAAAAAAACCCTAAATATATGTAAAAGACCACATGGTTTCCATTGCAAAACTTGCAGGTCCAATAGCCTTGCTCGTAAGTTACACTGCAAATAATGAATCAATCCCACAAGGAGTTTCATTTTTTCCTTGGACAATCAGAAGAGGTGGCTCGGCAAGCCATTGCACCAGCAATTGCCTCCCACCCACGGAAAGAAACATAAAGATTGTAAAAGACTCTGGTTTAACTTGGAATATGGCAACCCTCTGCAAATGGAACGCAAATACGTATGCAAGGTTTTTACAAAACAAACACATTTTCCAGTAAGTATGCTTATAATCTTAGTCACCTGCTTAAAATTACAGGAAACAGTGAGAATACACCTGTTAAAAATGTCCATCAAGCAAAAGAAATTTTTGTATCTTGCAGATTGGGATCTCCATTGTCTTGTGGTCATATTGTGACAATTCTTTACCCAGGAGAAGGCCATGCTGGTCCGATGGTGTCAAGCAGGGCTTCTCAATCACCTTCACTAGGCCAGCTATTTAACATGTCCGAATCAGCCGGTCTAGATATCAAGCTCAAGCTTGTTAGTAGTGTTGCCCTTCCTTGAAAAAGCTATAGCAGAAAATATGTATGCACAAACGTACTGGGAACCCTGAAAACGCTTGTCAAAGAGATATTAGAGACATACTTGATCTTTTGCATTTTAGAGTTGTCAAAAAACTCTGAAAGATGCCACAGTGGTATTTACAACCAGGATTCAGGTTGCAGGACCTCCTTGATACACATCGTAGCATGGTAGCGCATCCTTTAATGATATTTTAGCTAGGAATGTGGCTCCTGGAAAAAAAAAGGAAAAGAAATAAAAAGACACTTTGGGGATCAAGGAGGTTTTTTGGACACACGTCCACCTCTACTGGTTCAATAATGACTAACATTGGATCAGTGACCTTATTGACAATGGGGTACTTCTGCCTAAGTTTTTCAACCTTCTTATCAAAGCAGTCAATTTCATCCCCATTATAACCTGTCAAAAAGTCTACAATTTAACTTTCTAAGAAAAGAAACAATCCCTGAGCTACAAAGTTTAAGAATGGTTACCTTTTTAACAAATGACAAGTCCAAGGTTCGAATCCTAAGAAGCTCTGACAACTTTGGCTTTTTCATGGTTCCGGAATGCTTGTGAGTTCGTTCTAAGTATGAAATCCTCAATTATGTATTCACTCCAGTGACAAGGATATTTCATGTCCTTTTGAAGGTCTTCAAGAATCTTAGAAAGCCTAGTAAAAAAAATGTCAAATGAAAAATAAATACCCGAGCATTTCTTGAATGGTCCAAGACTGGATTTTTACAAGAGGGATGGGTATTTTGACTTACTAACCATCCTTTTCATTGATGGTGGCTGAACTAGAAAAATTTTCAACCAATTCATTAAAATTATTATTAAACATTATTTCAATAATTCCTCCATAGATAATATAGCATGCTCAAAACATACTTTGAATTGCACCATATTTTTTGGAACAACTATTACTGAAACCCTAAAGTGAATATTTATTTAGGGTTTAAAGTGAATGTTGTCATGCACAATGTAGCGTTTAAAAATGGACCGTGGACAAGAATGACTCTTAGGTGAAACAAGGATGACAACCCAAGAATTTAACCTCATCTCAGATTGAGCATGAACACCCCATGCGCACAGAGCACCAGCCCTCTCTCAATCCTCACGTTCACTACTCGTCAATCCCCCCAAAACACTTGTCAAGAATCCCCTCTTTCCAAGGACCCCTACTATGTCATCTCCTTGCTGCTTAACCTACTTGGTAAAGTCCATGAGTACGAGTACAGGTGAAATAAACAAGAGAGCAAACCCTAGGCCAACCTCCCAACCCTTAAGGCGTTACAGCCTTAAATCCCACAGGCCATAGAATATTCTCAGAATATTCCCATGGTTCATGTCATTCTCCCCTCCCTCATGACCCAGCCACATACGGCAGCCTCGAGAAGCCAAACAAGCCTCACATGAAGGGAGTCCAAGGCAATACGGCCATGGAGAAAAGATGTGCAAACGGCAACACCAACGTCGCGACAAATGGCCACGAAAGAAAGAAAGCAATACGGCTTTCTCACATGATAATACGGTCATGGAAACAAGAGAATGAGAATAGAACAAATGGCTCAAATCATATAGCAATATGGCTATAGAACTCAATTCTCCCCTTCCTCAGGAATGTCATCCAAGTCATAACCAAAACTTGGAAACACTCTTTTCACGTCATCCTCAGTTTCCCATGTAGCTTCGTCCATGGAATAACCATTCCACTGAACTAACAACTCCCTAGTTGTTTTCCAGTGTGTTTTCACCAATCTTTGAGCAAGAATATTGGCCGGACCAGCATTTTCTGCATCAATCTCTGGAACCTGGATGATGGACTGATCCACGATATCACCAGAGTGCAAACACGCTTTAAGCTTGCTCACATGGAATGTTGGATGAATCTGTAAGGAACCGACTCCCCGAGATGTCGTAGGCTAAAGGATCCCCAAAAGCTTGATCGAAATGACAAAGAGTTCATCGGATGGGACCGAGTTGAAGATCGAGTCCAAGACCGACTCTGAGACCGAGTTCGAGATAGAGTCCAGGATCGAGCTGAGGCCGAATCGGAGACCGAGATCGAGACCGAGTTCGAGACGGAGTCCGAGACCCAAATCGGGTCCGAGACCGAGTTCGAGGTCGAGTCCGAAGTCAAGTCCGAGA